TTTTTTTGATCCGAATTACGAATGAAAAAATTTTTCAGGAGCCTTGTCACAATCTCTACCGTTGGTTTCGGCGATATGGTGAGTGAAATCAATCAGAAATGATGAAAAGTTCCCTTCAAGGTTCCCAAGACGTACCTCGGGATGATCGTCGGATCTCTCTGCGCCCTGATGGGAGTTCTCACCATCGCTCTACCTGTACCTGTGATCGTCTCCAACTTCTCGAATCTCTATTCGCACTCGCAGGCCAGGTTCAAGCTGCCCAAGAAGCGGCGGCGAGTCCTCCAGGTTCGATCTCGATGTGTCGCTCAATGGTTTGGGAATGAAGGATCAGAAAAGTAGATATAGTCTGTTCGCCGCGACTTGAAGTTTTACGGGCGTCTGCGTCTTTGTTCTCTCACCAGTAAGGTCAGAGAGACATGAAAATAGCACGAAAACATGAGAGCGTCTCCGAGAGTTGAGGAGGGCACAGAGAAATCCCAGACTTTCAAGTCGCGAAAAACGGAGTATACTGGGAAAGTTCTTAGCGACCACTGTAGTAGTCGAAGTAGTGACCACTTGAGGGATTAAATATTTGCTGGAACCTTGGGATTTTTGAATGGGCTCTTTAGTTTTAAAGATTTCGATTGAAACTTTATTAAAAGTTTCAGTTTATAGAGTAGAGATTCTCACTTTGCTTAGTTCAAAGGCACATTGACTAATTAATGCTCACTTGAAAGTATTTATAAATAAAGAAGATTTTTTGAGAACAATTTCACAAAAATAAACAGTTTTATTGAATATTGCAGGCTCACGAAGTGAAGCCGAACTTGCTGAGCGTGAAGAGCCACCACGGAAAGCCAAGGAAGAAGAGTTCCTCGACAAATGTCAACCAGCAGCCGGTCGTCAACAAGAATCTCAATGGGGCGCCCTTGCAGGACCACTCCAGAAAACTCATTGCCTAAAACCTTCTCAAGAATTCTCTTTTCTTAGGTTTTTTCAGTTTTTCTAGTCTTTCATTTTTTTTTGTACCTTGATCTCCTTAGACCATACCTAATCACGTAATTCGAGGTATTTTAGTGTTTCTTTTAACATTTTCTTTTCCTTTTTTTCGAAAGCATGTAGAGAACCATTTATTTGCATGATCGCTATGATGCAAAACGTAGCCTAAATTTTCAAAGTTAATTCATTTTTGGCTTGAGATAATTATTCACTGTATGTAAAATAAGCCATTTTCAACATTTTTATGGATATCATCGTTTGAATGATCAGAGTCTCAAATCAACGGTGAATCAACTATTTTTGACTTTCTTTTTTTTTCTCAGAATCTCTTCTAAATCTGATTTCTTGAACCGACTTGGGACATCTTGGTCGCATTTAGAATGGCTCACGCCTCATAGTTTCAATCGAGTCAGCTCTAGAAAATACTCTTCGATGCCACTCCGCGCAAACCGTTTTGGGTCGGGCGAAAAGTGACAGCTTTTAGAGCCATTCCCCGTGCGACCAAGAGGCAAGTCGATCAGCAAAAGAACAAATTTTTCACAATAATTGCGGACCCTTCCTACGAGTATTCATTCATTCATTGATACTTTTTTTATCTTCATAATAAATATATTATTCATTTATATTCAGTATATTTCGTGGAAATCAAAGTGAGGTGTTAGTTTTGGCCTTGCATGTCGTCATTGGAGCATAAATGGTGCACGGGAAACGCTTCTTGCCGCGACTAACACCACCGAGCGGAGAAATGTCCTTGTTCGCCTTGTCCTTCCGTCCAAATCGCTTCTCTTTTTTGTCTCTCGGAAGATATTTCGATCTTTGTAGCTTTCAGAGTAGCCGATATTGTATTTCTGGAGACAAAGTTTCACTACAACTTGTTCTTTTTGTAGCTAAACGTCATTGAAAACAGAAAAACAAGGCTTGGTGTTTGTTTCTCATCGAGAAAGTTCAGTTTCAATGGAAAATGTGCTCCAACGAAAAAGATAAAGATTTTTCCAGGTGATCTCCGTGGTGAACATCTTCTTCGTCATCATTTCCATCGTCTGCTTCTGTCTGAAGACGCATCCGTCCTTCAGAATCCCGGACATTGACGTCGCCACATTCAATTCTTCTTCCTCCACCACTCCCATCTATGTCGGCAAAACTGCCACCAGGTTTTTTTCGAAGTTGTTCATAGCACCTCAAAGAAAAAGAAAATAACCTATTTTTAAGTTAGAAATAAGAAAATTACTGTTTTCGGAAAAAAAAGATTCCTTTCAAAAATTTTTTGCTATAGTCTGTGTGCCAAGACTTGAAATTTCACGGAACGACACTCCGCTGCGCCGTTGCGAGCCTTTGCGAACCTTGGTCGCACTTTTAATTTTTTTTTTTCTTTTTATCAAGGTACTCTACTTTCATGGGCTCCCACAGAAATAAAAATCAATTGAAATGGTGACCTAGATTCGAAAGACGCCTCGCAAACGCACGCAGCGGAACACCGGAATGTCGTTCGGTGAAATTTCAACTCGTGGCACTCAGACTATAACAGATCTTCAAAAACATATTTATTCTCAATTTCCTTCAGTGCCCATCCATGGTTCTTCTACGTGGAACTTCTGTCGAACATCTGGTTTTCCGGAGAGTTCCTGACAAGAATGATTTTCTGTCCGAAAGTCGACGCCTTCCTCAAAACTCCTGTCAATATCATCGACTTCATCGCCACCGTCTCTTTCTATATCGATTGGGCGCTCGATCGCGCTCTTACGGGTTCAAATCGGTATTTTACTTCTTCTCATAAGCTTCATCTAAAGAAATTTGAATTTTTAGTGATTCTGTCGAGTTCTTCTCGATAATTCGTATTCTTCGGTTGTTCAAACTCACTCAGCACTCCACGGGCCTCAAAATATTGATTCAGACTTTCAAAGCGTCAGCTCAGGTTTCTTTGTTATAGACTTGAAAAATTGAAGAAAAAGGGAAAAATTTGATTAACTGGCTTAATCGATGAGTTCTTGTACATTATAATACTTCAAAACGAATCTTTAATTTTCAGCTTATTATCGATTTTCCCAATTTTTTCTTTTCTCAGTCACTCTTGCGAAAAATTATTTTTTTTTTCAAGCTTCAATTCAAAACACTATTTCTTACTTTTCCAGTCTTGTCTATTTATTCATTTTTCCAGGAACTCTTTCTTTTTGGTCTTTTTTTCGTCCTATTGGGAATCGTCATTTTTGCTGCTTTGGTTTATTATGCCGAGCGAGTCGAGGATAATCGCGAAAATCAATTTTCTTCGATTCCAGTCGGCCTTTGGTGGGCCGTAATCACCATTTGTACGATTGGATTCGGCGACTTTGGTACGATATTTTTATAGCTTGAAAAGTCATTAATTTGACCCGATTGAAATATTTTGACTTTTCCTAGATAAATTTAGAACAAAAATGGGAAAAAAAACGCAGATTGGGGGCGCAAAAAGTCTGCAAACACGCAGAGTGCACATGCCAAATGCGGACTTTCACATACAGTAATCTTCAGAAAAGAAAGGCTCGTCTGTCGTAGAAGAACATATTTTTCGGTCATCAGTATCTTCTTACCACCAAAATTACAGGTACCTCAGACCTACCTCGGAAGATTGGTCGGATCAGTTTGCGCCTTGATGGGAGTCCTTACAATCGCCTTGCCCGTGCCGGTCATCGTCTCCAACTTTGCCATGTTCTATTCGCACGCTCAAGCTAGGTTCGCACCTGGATTTTACCTGAAGTAATGAGAAGGTACAGGTCAAAGCTGCCAAAGAAGCGAAGAAGAGTTTTGCAACCGCACGAGATCAACAAACCGCCCGTGGTTGTGGGTCGGTCCACGACGGCCGTTCTTTTGGGATCTTTGGGCCCGAAAAGGCCTGGCGCGGGTCCTGTTGCCGATGGAATTGGTCAGATCTTACTGAAAGTTCTAAATTCAGGCTTCGCACAATGGTTTTTATGAAATAATCATCAAAAAAATTAAACCTTTTTCTTTTCAAAATCTTGTCATTTAAAAGATTTTCTTTTTCGAAATAATCTTTTCTTTCAGGACCTCTCTCGCCGTTCACAGCCACTCCGTTGCTCGTCTGCCCACCAAACTCTAATTCGAGCTCAACCGACAATTGTTCGCATCGAAGCCCGAATTCACAAAAATACCATAAAAATTTATGACACTCAATGAAAGCCTCGCGGTATGAAAATTTATTGAATCAAACGAAACAAAAATCAGTTCCTTTTGAAAACAAGGTGTCCGCTGGCCCGGTCGTAGTTCTCCCAGTACCTGAACATCTATTTACTTATCTCACTCAAACGCAAAATTACAAAACGCAGAATGAAAAGAAGCGGAACGCGATTTAAAAACGCTTGATAACGATTGGAAATGGAAAGGAATGAGAGTTCAGTTACTGACTTGTTCTGAATGCGAAGAGGAATCGCCAGTTGATCCCACAGAGCGGAGATCACGAACAACGCCATCGTACATGCGAAGACTGGAAAAAAAATGAATTTGGCTCAGGGGACGTTTTGGAACGTTGAGGACACTTCGAAAGCTCAAAATACCGCTTTTTGTCATAATTTTCGTATTTTGCCGACTTTGAAAGCTCCATAACTCGAAAAAGAGATCTATTGCGAGAAATTTTATTCTTGTTCTAGAATCAGGAGGTCCTAAAGTACACTTCAGCAAAGTTTCATCAAAAGTTCAACCACGGGGTGAAAGGCATAATCACTTGGGATGAGACAATAGAAACTCCTTTGATTTTTGGAAAATTTTCGGATAACTTCTGAAGGTTTTCTTCACTTCTAAGTTTCAATACGAAACTTATTTAAAGACTCTTGTCGCTATTAGTAAGAAATGCCATCGATAAATGGCTTGAACCTAAATTTTCAGCGTTAATTGTCTTTTTCTAGATATTTTTCGGACCTGCGAACGTCTATTTCTACAGAGAACTTCTTTCTAATTTTTTTTCATGTTCAACAGTTTTAACATCGAACGCGTAGATTGAAAATATTCTAAAATTAAAGTCAGTTAACCAGAGATTTGAAAGCTACTACAGAAATTTCAATAGGAGATTGCAGTTCTTGTACAATTCAAACCGTAATAATGCACGAAAGAAAGTAGAATTAATCAAAAACGATGCAGCATTTCATAAAATACTCCAACTGTCTTTCTTCTGCCCTTTAACGTCTTAAGAAAAGGTCATTCCATAAAAACTGACAATGCGGGAAGTAGAAGGTGAGGAAAATCTCGAAAACGGTCTTGTGCGGATTGAGAGCGCTGTTTCCGGGGAGCGGCATCAGATACTCGCTGAGGAAAATCATCTTGCGCCACAAGAGCAGCGACGACGCCAGGAACGTCGTCAAGGCGGCGTGACGGGAGTTCCGCGTCGCCTGAAGACGTCGTGCGGAGAAGAAGACGTGGAGAACCAACCAGACAGAGGGCCAGAATGTTGAGGAAGATCTCGAAGAGACACATGCGACTCATCACCTGTGTCAGAAGGTCTTGGGGGTCTTTGTGGGGCAAATCCACGGCCGAATAGAGTCTCCCTGCAGAAAAAAATGTTTTTTTTTCAAACTGTCTTTCGAAAATTTGAAAAAAGTTTTTTCAAGAAAAATGAAAAAAGAAGGTTTCAAAATTTTTGGACGGTATTATTCAAGCCATAACCTGGTTCAGAGGTAACCGTTTTTTGGAAACTCAGCGAGTTATGATGCTAGGAACTTTCATCTATCGAATGTTATTGCAATATTTTTTCGTTTACTTTGAGGTTTTTTGGTTTAAACCACCTTGGAAATTTCTTGAAGTTTCCATCTATTAAAAAGGATTGACATGAGAATATTAAACAAAATTTAAATAAATAAGACGAAAATGAGAGATTTTTGCTTTCCAAGATTATGGGCTTTTCAGGTCTGCGTACACAGGATTACGGTCCTCCAAGATTCGCCGAATCGAGATTTTATTCGTACCCTCATTCTCTCATAACGTTCCCAAAAACGAACAAGGTGCAAAGACGGTCTGAGCGATGAAGTTGGAAGAATCGGCGGTCTTGGGCAAGTGAAGGGTGTACTGGACGTCGAGGAACCCGATCAACGTCGTCGCCATCAGCCAGAGCGACACCCAGACCGGCAACGCGTTCGGTTCCAATTGCTCGACTCCGGAAGGCAGCTCGAACTGCTTGTCGAACTTTCGCCGACGGTGCTCTGATTTGCGCGAACTCTGAGCTTTCGATGGATCTTCACAATTGTTTCGAAACAAACCATTTCTGCTGCAAACGTCGAAGAGAAATAAACGTTCCAAGACGTCGTCACGTAACAAATATAACTTGATTGGATTCGATCTGTTTGAAACATTTTTCTGGGGATTTTTTTATTATTTTTAAGATACTTTCATTGAGATTATTTTTATTACAAATTCGAGGGAGTTTCGAGACGTTTTTGGATTTTATTTCAAATCCTTCTGAACTTCTGCGTCTGTCTTCAACCTCCCTAAAAAGGACTTTAAAAAGTTGGATATTATTAAAAAGTCCCATTTCAAATCTTCAATTGATAGAAAAAATCGAAAGCCAGAAAATCGCGGACAGTCTTAAAAATTCCATTCACTGTTCGATTTTTCAAAAAATAATAATTGGAGGTATTTTTATTTTGAGTTCGATCACAATAATTATCCATTTTTAAGTGTCTAAGGTTCAACTAATGAAGCTGGAAAAATTATATCTTCTTCCTTTTTTCTGCGAAATTCACAGTTCCTCACAAAGTGAAGTTTCTGACGATTTACAAAGTCCCCAATTTACGAAAATAAAAGCTTAGAATGTAGTTTTTTCTTCTGAACACTTCGCCAAAAATTATGATTTTTCGAAAAGATTGGAGCTAAGCAGACTTAAAAAAAATCCAAGATTTTTGAGTATTGCATCAAAAAGTTCTTTTTCAGCCAATTCTTGATAGCTTCCAGAGCTTCAGTTTATTTTTTGTGGCCGCTTGATCTTTTTATAATCTGGACTGAGTGGCACTTGAATAATTTATTTCAGGGAAAGAAAATACTTCAACGCTAAAACCATTGTTTTCAAGATGTTCTGAAGTTTCCGGAGTGAGCAAATAATGAGAAAAAAGTGTTGTTTGAGGCTTTCAAATCCTAAATAACTTGAAAAAAATTTGTTTGCAAAAATTTTTGATCGGTTTTGTAATCAAACAAGTTTCAACAAAATTTCCACCTCATTCTGAAAAATACTTCCTTTTTAAATTTCGGACTTTGCCAGATTGAAGCTTCCCCAGAACTCGACTTGCCTCCACAAAACCAACACCAAAACACAGATCCAAGACGGGTCCCCCTGTTCGGTAGTTGCGCAACATGCCGACCGCGGCCAATTCGTCTGCTGCAGATTTACAGCGGCTCGCGGATTGGATGGCGGAATTGTTTGCGACTTGTGCAACCACAGGTCCCGATTTCGTGTTACACTTTGGGTGCAAAGTCGTCTCTGTGTTGGGGTCTTTTTGGTCTGTTGGACTTCCGGAAAAGCTCTTACTGCACTAGGCTTGTTTGAAGATTGATCCAACTATGATTTTTTTTTTTCAGATCGTTTCAATAGAAGAAGCGAATATTCTCAACAGTTCAGAGTGAACATTTTTTTTTCAGAAATCTGAATGATTCCTCTGAAAATCCAGATCCGACACGTTAAATTTAATATTTCCCACCATAAAATTTTTCACGTAGTTCTACTTCAAAGTACTCGACTTGCGATTTCATTGATTAAACCTTTCCAAAAAACGGAACCTTTCCACTGACCTGTCTATTTTATTCCATCCAAATTTTAGCCTTTTAAAAACCAAATCCCAGAATAAGAAACAAAAAACGGAAAGCTCCCTGAATTTCCAAAAAATAAAGTTTTTTTCAAAATCAAAAAAAAACATTTTACCGACTAAGAACTAAATTTTTGTTGAAACGGCCCGAGTACGAGATTTTTTCCGTTCAAAAACCTGCATTATGTTCTCGATTCCACTGAGATTTTTTTAAATATTTTTTTTCGTGAAAGTTAACGGCTTCACACAGTTCAGCGGTGATTCAACTGGTAAATTCGATGTATTTTCATAAAATTGTGCTGCATTTTTTCTTCTATTTTAATACTAAATTTTGATCCATCCGACTTGATCTTTTGATCTCTCAGGAAATGATTCTTGACAGAACTTCAGAAATTTCTCTTGATTATCATTTAATTATAAACTTCGTTATTTTCGAAAAAGCATCGGAAAATCTTTTGAATCTATCGAGACAAAGAGTCAATTTTAGTCTTATTTTTGGTCATGTACATTTTCCGTGCTTTTCTAACACTCTAGCGAGAATTTCTGACCAACTATAGAAGTCTAAATCCGACTCTTTTTCAGAAAACTATTTTTGTTCCTTGTGAAAATTTGAAAGGAAAAATCCCCCCTAGACTATGCAAAAACGTTGAATTCCCAATTTAGAAGCAAGAAAAAGACGTATCCAGGTTGATTGAAACGCAACATACGTCGCCGTCTTTTCCCACGCGTTTTCCGTCGGTTCCCAGTCTTTGACTTGCCGGTGAACTTTGCGACAAGAAGAGTCGTCAAAAAAGACGGCTACGGGTGCATGTTGTAACGCCTCGTGGAGATTATGAAGGAGAGATTAAACTACAGCAAGTCTGGGGCCGCCCTGTTGTTCCGCCGTGACGCCTGTCAACAGGACGCCCGAATTTTGTTTGTCGCCTTCATCAATTTCGTCTTATGTATTGGTTGTTCCCCCGCGGACAATCAACAAATCAACAGAGCTCTCATTTTGATGATTTCAATGAAAAATATGGAAAATGTTGTTTCGAGGGAGATTTTTTTTAGAAGGAGAAGATTACTTGGTAGAAAAAGATTTTATTAAGTTTTTTGAAGAAATTTATTTTCTAGAAAGACGTTGATGGAATTATCTTCAAAATTGTTTTTTGAGTTTTTTAAGAGCCTAGCTTGAATTGAAATAACTTTGATCGGCTGTTTGCCTGGAGAACTTGATAAAATTCGTCCATTCTTTTTTTCAAATACCGATATCGGAACTTGGAAAAAAAGATAAGTCTTTTCTAAAAGTAAAATGAAGCTTAAAAATTTTTCTCGAGCAATGTTTCCATAGTCTTCTCTGTTACAGAATAGAAAGGTGAAAATTATATGGAGCCTGTTCGATTTTTTTTCGGTAAGTAGTTTAAAGGATCATTAGGAAATCTTAAGTGAGGTTTCAAAGCGAAAATCTGTTTTAAGTGTTATTTCAGCTTGAAAAACTTCTACGAAGATTTTTGAACATACTACATACAAGAGGATCCGATTACAAAGTTTTTCTTCAAAAATTATGTATTACAATGATTTTCTCATTGACACAATCTTTCCGAACAAGAAAGTTCCCTTTTGGCCCAGCTACAAAAATAGCCTTGAATGAAAAAGTGTGTCGCAAGAAATTCTCACAAAAAATCTCTTCCCCCGACCTTTTTTTTCTTCGGATAACAAGTAAAAAGGTTGTAGGTAAGCCTAATTTGTAGCAGTTGAGCTCCCGGGGATTTGTGACGTTTCAACCTCAATTTTGCCCTTTCCAATGTCTCCAACAACTCTGTCCTTTAATGAAGTTCGAGCAAAACAGAATTAGCTGCAGTTTCGAGTTGCAAAGATCTTCGAATCGTACGAGAAAACTCAGAAAGGAGCAGACTTTTGTCCCTAAAATGATGCGATTTGTTATTTTATGCCGTCTTCGGTCGATTTGCGTAGGTTATGTCAGATTTGACGAAATATAAACCAAAAAAGTCCGCTGAGACTATTTTTTTTCGGTAATTGTTTTCGTTTCGACCCCAGGCATCGCCAAACTCAATTGGGAAATGGAACAAGCTTGGTATTTTAATTCAGAAAAATAACAACAAAAGAGAAGCCAGACGGTTTTTTGGTCTGTTTGAGCCCATCCACTTGAAAAATTGTTCTATTTTAAAGTAAACACGTTGAAAATTCCTCTGAAAAACATTTGACGATGTGTCTTTTTTCAGGTTTCTCGTGTCGAAAAATAACCGAAAACACTCGATTGGGGGAATTTCTCACGGGGTTTCCGCCATTTTTTTGGTTCTTCGTTTGAGAGTTTGGCTGTGAGCCAAAAAAAGCTCGAGTTTCTAAAAAAATGTAACAAAAAAACACTCAAAAAAATTTTTTTCCCCGTGAAAGTTTTACAACGGGATTATGTATTTTTTTAAACAACACTCCAGAAGAAAAAAATGTTGATTTTTTTGAGGGATTTTTTTGGTTTTGAAACTTTATTTAAAAAAATGAGTAGATGTCTTCCTGTGTACATTTTCTTCGTTTCATCTGTTTTGCTAGCAAAATCCACGTCGCTTGGATTACGGTAGTCCCCGCGGGGCGAGACTTCCTCCCACTTCATTTTGCAAAACTTTTGCGATGCTGTGATAATTTATAAATGTGTGGAAAAGGCTACGTAATGTTTGACGTTGGCGAAACAAAAAAGCTAAATCAGGAACTTTACTTAATCGAGTTCAAACGGATTAATATAGAAAATTAACTTTTAAATTGAAACGAAACCCTTGAGAGGCTTCCGGATATCACGCAATTTTTTGAAGAAAAAGCGCCAAAAATCATTTTTTTTTTTTCTCGTTTCGAAAATTAACTATTGATCTATCACTTGAACACTTTGAAGGTTTGAAAAAGGATGAACGAAAAAACTAATATTTTGAAACTTTAAAAAATGAGTGAAATTTTATGAGAACATTTTTCTATAATAATTGGAAAAAACTTTTTAAAAAAATCAAAAACCGAGAAAAGTACTTGGTATACACAGGGAAAAACATTGTGTAGAAAGAAAACCGTTCATGCTCGAAATACACGGTGGAGCAGTGCATGTGGGTTTGCTTTTCATTATTGGGGTCGTTGGTTCGATTCCTGCAGCCGTATACATTTTATTCTTTAGTAGAACAACTTTTTTTAATTCATAAATACAGTTTCTTATTATTCAAAATATCTTGATCACTTTCGAAAACTTTTTAAAGCAATATCCGTTCTATATAAGATTTAAAAAAACGAAAAAAATTGTCTGAAAGACAAAAAAGACCAATTTTTCAGTACAAAAATGTCGCCAGCTTTTTCTCAAAATTTCTTTTTTTCAAAGTTTCGAGAACGCTTCAATTGACTACATTTCAAGTCCGACAGATGTTTTTTTGAAGTTATATTTGGTCAACCTATCTCAAGAGAAAAGTTGATATTTTGGTCGCGATCAAGCACATATT